CTTTTCAGGCGAGCAGTCTGGGCAGGCAGTGGGTCCTTGTTTGGGCAAACATGGCAGAGGGTCCGTGTTGGAACATTACACGGTGCTCAGTGATGACCCACGGCTGACACACTGCAGTACCTGCCTTGGGGTGGTCCGGCAGGGGTCAGACCTCAGGCATCTGTCCTCCACCACCCTCTGCCAACATCTGGAGAGGCACCACCCAAGGCTCCTGTTCAGGAAAGGCACTTCATCCACACCATCTGGGAGAGGGAAAAGAGCAGCTCCAGGGGAGGCAGGAGGAGGCACTCTATGGCTTTGTGAGGGAGGTGGTCTGTGACCATTTTTCAGAGCTACAGAGGCACAAGGGGCACCTCACAGTGGACCTGTGGCACGGAGGTCAGCACGGCTACCTCTCACTCACAGCCCACTGGAGGCAGCCAAAGGACTTGAGTAGTGGCAGGGCATCGGCAACAGGGCCACAGGGGGAGGCCCTTGCCTTGCCCCCAGGCTACAGGTCCGTTCTGCTGTAGGCATGGCACATGGAAGCTCAGACAACGGGGAAGAACATCAACGATGAGTTCCTGTCTGCACTGCAGGAGTGGGCACCAGAGGGGGAGGTGACCCATGGCCATATGGTCACAGATGCTGGGCGGAACATGTTGGTGGCATGGAACGCAGCAGGCTTTGAGGGCATCATATGCATCGCACACAAATTACACCTTCTGGTGTGTGATGCCATCAAGCCTGGGCAGCCACGTCAAGCCCGAGTGAAACGCAGGCACCCAGGAGACGTGGGCACTCCTGGAGCAATGCCACCAACTGATGAGCCAATTCTGCAGCCTGAAAGCTGTCTGCTGGCTGAGTGAAAGGTAGGAGGAGTTGTGTCAGGAGACCCACGTTCTCCTGATAGACCTGCCCACCAGGTGGAACTCCACCTACACCATGGTGTCGCGCCAGGTGGAGCAGAAGACCATTTTGGAGGGCACCATGTCCTCCATGCCCATTCTGCCCTGGAAGGAGAGAGGTGGGCATCAGTGCTATGGATTGGCTGGCCCTGTCCCAGATGGTGGAGGTGTTCAAGCCTTTCCAGGAAACCACAGACATCTTTGATTATATGGTGAGCCTGGGGCAGGTGATCCCCCTGATTCATGCCCTTGATTGGTCGCTGGAGACTGCTGTGATGCCAGGATCCTCCCTCCTTCCACAGACCAGGGCTTTGGTGAAGAGGTTGCAGGCAGACGCGCAGAAGTGACTCCATCTTGTCTACAGCAACAGAGCTTACCGCATGGCCTGCCTGTGCGATCCTCGAATCAAGGGGGACTTGGCAGCATGCACCTCAGACCTCAAGGAGTGGAGAATGGAGCTCTCCACTGAGGTCCGCAGGGCATTGGGGGCACAACACTTGTGTGGGGCAATGGGAACATCAGGCCACGAGGGGCAGGGTGGTTTGCTCAAACCACAGGGAAGGACTTCACCTGGTGAAGGCTCCATTCACCACCACCATTAGTGGAGCTCTGTGGTGACCTTGGCACTTGCCTCAGAGGAAAGACAGCTGGCTGAGGAGGATTTGGCATATATAATGATGCGGGAATATCTGGCTGAGCCCCCTCAGCCCCACCAATGAGATCCCCTCCATTACTGGGCCAGGAAACTAGTCATATGACCGGAGTAGTCCAATGTGGCCATGGACCTCCTTTCCTTCCCCCCCACCAGCGTCCAGACTGAGTGTCTGTTTTCCCAACTCGGAGACATACTCCGACCACGCCACCCCACCTTGGATCCTGTTACTGTAGAAACACTGTCATTCATCAAGGTGAACCTTCCTTTGTTGGACTTCTCCTCACTGAACCCAAAGAGGTAATGTTCCAATGACAGTCTCACCCTTAACACACTGCCTGCTTGCCTGTGCCTGCCTCTCTGCCCGCCCACCTGCCCACCTACCCACTCTCCAGTCCTCCTGAAAAAAAGACCTGCCTACTTTCCTGCCGGCCTGTAAACCTGCCCCTCAGTCAGAAGTCCAGCTGCCTATTCCAGTAAACTCCTTGGGCCAAGTTCCAACTAAGTCCTGCCTGCC